AGCGTTCAGACTCACGACGGCAGCGCTTCGTCGCGCGTTCGACGCGATCGATGCAGTCGAAAGCATGCGCATCGATCGCGTCGAACGCGCGACCGAAGCGCTGCCGTCGCGAAGTCTGAACGCTGCCTAAGAGTAAAAAGTAAAAGAGCATTGTGCGCTCAGCCTTTCTGGTTAGATATTTTCATTCTGGTGCAATTGTAGTAATCTCTTTGTTTGATGCGAGACAAAATGACAGCTATCTTAAATCGAAATATCCCAAAAAAGCCGAACCCATCTTTCTGAAGTGCCAGCCATGCCTACCGTGCCTCAGGAATGTAGAGTGTAAAGGTTTGAACTTACCGAGTCCTCTGTGGTGAATGTATGAGTGATGGCTCGCAGTCCGAGACTCTCGAGCGTTCGCCGTAGTTCCATCCTTGTGCGCGACTTCTCAGAAGCTGTGAATCTGGAAGCATTCGCTACACTACACAATCTATTTCGAAAGGTTGGAAGAGAAGTGGTCAAGTCGGGACACGTCCGCCGTAAGGGAAAACTTTTGAAAGGTATCACTCCACCCCTCCCCGGCAAAGTGTACCTCCTCTGGTTCGACACACTTCTCTGGGAATCCCAGCCAAGGTAGAGCATCACTGGAAGAATCCCATCAGGGGATCATACTTAGTCCCGGGTGGAGGGTGGGGGTGGGGTGGGGAAACGAGTCATATCTGCCTTTGGCAAAAATGGCTCCAAACCGCTAGAATTTTTTTCGTGGTCCTTGACTAAATTTGGTTTTTTCCCGTTTCATATTCACTATATATTCTGTCTACGGGGCCTGAGAAATGTTCTGTCTTCCAGGCTATAGAGCAACTGTCGTGTGGGTTCCATTTCTGGTAGTTGAATCTGAGCAAATTACCGTGGAACTGATAGGAATCTTGACAAATCGTCGTGAAGTCGCTCGATGCTCGCGATTTGAGCACAGGTATCCAAAAATGGCCATAATAGCGCGAATCGAACAAGCATATATCTCTCAAATTGTCAAATAATAGTAGTGACAAGGTAGTTGTTGTAACATAAAGCTTGTGTTTAATAATAAGAACAACAACACTTTTACAATGGTAGCATTAGCTGAAGAAGGCATGAACAAATAGAGGAGGCATCGGAAAGGGCAAATGACGCCGACGTTCGGATAGGCGAGAGGGGGGGCATTTGGTGACGGGGGGGCATTTTGCACTTTTGCTACTTCCCATCGACGTGTCGACCCATCTAGACAGCCTCTTCTCGAGTTGACAGGTTTTACCATGATGGCTTGACGAGCTTGCTCCAGCTTCACAAGAGTTCACAGGTTTCACCAGTAAGACTTATAAACCGGTATAGCGAAGCATCCGAGAGTGCAGGATGCCCCTTCCCTTCGCCGAACTGCGCCGAGGGGAGTTTTGCTCTTCAGCTAGTTTTGCTTGCTATTCACTTGAACTATCCGGTCTCTCTTTGATGAGACCTATAAATTCTTGTGGAATTGAAGAAGTGAGCCATTTCAGTTTCGATAATTCACCAGTCTTCACAAGATGGCCTCAACAAGTTTCGCTGGTTACCATCAGGTGCCTCTACCAGGGTGAACAGCGCCATTGATGTTTAGTCGACTTACCATCTGCATGGCCCGCGGTGAAGTTTCAGGTAACCTTAAGCCCAGGCCAACACCGCCTTCTGTTCACCCACAGTCGGTTGGTTGATACCAGCCTTGCCTGGGAGGTTAGAAACATTAGCTAGTCCTTCAGCTGAAAGTTGCATATCATTTTAGGTCAGATCGTATAAAGCGATCATTCTGCACGAAAGTAGAGCGCGTGGCTTATTCTGAACAGGGTTCTGCATCGTCCAGTACTTGGTTCTCCCCTTATCACCTACAAGGAAGCATGGACTGTAATGTGCGAATTGTCAGTGCTGCAGGGGCTGGATAAGAGGCTTTCAAAAAATTGGATCGAAGAAGGTTGGCGACTTGAAGGGACAGGTTCAGAGTACAAACTGTATACTATAATGAAGGCAAAATGGAATCACAAATCAAAAAAGAACTTTCTCAGCCTCACAGGAAGGAAGAAAAAGGGTGGTCAAAGTCTCATTTGGGTGCTGACCGACAATCATTGACAATGGAATGTCCACTGGGTGCCGCAATTCGAACATCAAACATCCCACTGGAAATTGACAGTTCAAAAGCGTTGTCCCCGGTGACGGTCTATTTGCATTTCGTTGTTCGCATCAATTAGGACAACACCAACGCTAACAAAAAACCTTGCAAATCTAGCACTTTTCAGCCCCTGGAAATGAGACCTTTCTTCAATAACTGACCATGCCCTCTACCCCTCTCTGGGCACGTAGAACGTTGGATATCCCAAACGAGAGGAGGGGGAAGGTCGTATTTGCCTTTTGAGAAAAATCTTTTTGAATTGTTGACTTTTCTCGGCTTTTTGTCCGCTCGACGGCAGTTTTTAGGGGAAATCTGAAAGAAGTGCTAGGAAGCTGATGAAACTGAAGGAAGTGTGATAGGCAGCATGGGAGTGGAGAAGAAGGTCTCAGGTCTCAAAATTTTCTCCAAATTCCCGTACGTCTCGTTAGTGCTTGATAAGGGCGCCACGACTGAGCGACCATAACCTAGCTCCGTCTCCCTACGCTGGATCCACCTTCGTTTTCGGTTTAACCCTGGGGTCCCGATGTCGATCTCTATTGCATTTTCTCCAGGCATACCATTGTCTGCCTCCCTTCTCTACATTCACTCTCTCTGCGCCGTATGTTCATATGGCTCAATGCCAACAGGATTCTTATTCACAGCGTTCTCGACGGTTTCATTCACTTTGTTCCTCAGTTATCGTCCACTTTCCACCTGTCGAAT